ACATTCCTGTGTTCCAAGAACTAAGTAAGAATTGTAACAGCAGCAGTATTTCTGTTACTAAAATGATAGTTTTGAAACTCGTAAATTGCAAGCCCTGGGCTGCTGCCAAAGACCTGTTGGACTTAACGTGACTCCTCAGACTCTGGGCCTAGATTTTTTTCCTGCTGGGCTGGGGTTTGGGACCCAAGCAAAGGGAAATCTCCTAGACTTCTCAGAAGCGAACATGAATTTACAGCCTGACCTGACATTCAATTTCGCCTAACTGTTCAGCAGCTCAAGACCTCCAGTTTCTCACACTTAGGCAAAGAGCAGGCTTCTTGTCTCTTGTCTCTCTCCTTCTCTGCTGTGCTTCTTGAGACAGGGCATATTTGTTTTCAGTTTTTGCTGTCAATATATTACTCTTGTGTTGCATTTAATCCCTTTAGGATGCACTGAAATGCTGGCCATCCCGATAGGCAAACAAAGGGAAAGGTCTTCTCTGGTTAAAAATTGCCCCGAAATGTCTCGCACTTGAACACAGTGTACACCTGTCTTGCCTTCACAACCTGAGTAAGTGTCCCCCAGGAGTGCAATAGCAAAGCGAGTTTGTGCCCTTTGTGTATGAAGAGAACCATGCATGTCTGTTTTATATAGCAGATCTTACTGAGCTCTTCCATGGCGATAGATAGCAGGAGAAAACAGGAGATCTCCTGTTTTCAACATCTGGGGCAAATATTCACAAACGAGCAGTGTGAGGTGTGGTAACAGGTGGTGTACATTACTGTGCATATCTCTAGACATCATTATCACAGGGTTAAAGCAAACAAAAATCCTTGCATTGAAAATAATAAATTAATAATAATTAATTAAAAATAATTATTAAGCTTTAGTTTTTATGCTCAAGAACAGAAAACATCATGAATAAGAGGAGGCCCCTTGGCCTATCAAGCTTGTTTGTTTGCTAGTAGGGTCCTGGGAGCTGTTTCTTGAAAGAAACTGGGGGATCGGCTTGGTTGAGCTTGTTCCACACTCCCACCACCCTGAGTGTCCAAAGCGCCTGCTGTTGTTGAGTTTAAATGTTCAAGTAGTTTTCAGTGGTGTCCTGAAGAAGCCCACTGGGTGGGCTTTCTCATGACCTTTGGGGTCTTGCCTTTTATGTTTCAGCCCATCTTTGACTCAGGGTGATGGCGTCCAGAAGGAGGTCGAACCCGAGCGAGGCCTGTGAGGGAGGTGAGTGTTTGCCGAAACACGCTCATGTTGTGGCGAGCTATACAGGTTATGCCAGCAGCTGGGTCACAGTGCTGCTCCCCTGACGTCCTCGCACTCAGATCCCTCTCTTTGTCACACCCCCCTGTTAAGGAGGGGCTGTTGACCTCAGTAAGGGATATCACAGGGCCGTGCCCGGTACCAGACTGCGGCCGTGTGGTTGTGAAGGTGATGTGTGTCTGTCTGGAGAGGGTACGTTGATCACAAAGCCAGCCGAGAACTTAGAATGTCTGCACTGCGTTCAGGTTTTGTGGGTGTGAGTGGTTGTGTCCCTCCACATTTGGCGGTGCATCGCTTCAGACTGAACAGTTGTTTGTTTCAGGGTTTGTTAACATGCAAAATGTGTGCCCTGCGAGTTGTTTTTTTTAAATACCGGTCTCACGCAGAGCAGTCTGCACGCTATTTGTGTCTTTTGTGCTGCTCCTTTGCCTTAAGTGCGTCAGACTATTTTTTTTGTAATGAAAGCGCAAACTGACACCTTTTTAAAGCTTTTCACGCTTGCCACATATAAAAAGTCCCACACAAGGCAAGAGCATGGAAAGAGTATGCCCACGGTGCGTTCTGAGGCTTTCTAAAGGAAGCAAAGCTCCGCTGCCTGTTCGCTCTCATTACCCGATGCCTCCTCTCAGCTCTGCTCCGCCACGACTGGGAAGAACTTGGTGTCTCTGACGGAATCCCCCCGAGGGGGCTCGCTGCCTGTTTCTCATTCCCATCAAGAGTCCTGGAATACTGGCAGGAAACCGGGAAACAAGACGCTGGAAAAATCCTTAAGGGACCAAGTCCTAATATGCACATAATCTGACCCAGATAAACAATCGGGTGTTACGCAAGTTAAATGAACTTCTCCCTGGTGAGGGTTTTTACTGCGCTTGATTTTGTTTTTTGGGTTTCGTTGAATCACTTGGGTTTGTTGTAGTTTTTCCATGGCCAGGGCATTCCCCTGTGTTCTTCACCATTCTCCCACTGTGGTCTTGTAGCTCTGTCCGATGCCTCTGTCAGCTGGACACCGTAGCAGGCTTCAGCAGGGGTTACTGAGGTTCTCAAAGCAACCATCATAGGAAATGTGTGTGAAAACCTCACAAACACAAGTAAAGATAAGAACGCCGAAGCAAAAAATACATTATTATCATTGGCTGATATCTGCATCTCCCGCTGTGAGGTGGTCTTGTGAATTTGTATTTCAGGTATGGCCATGACAATTTGTATGTTACAGAAATCGAGAGAGGCTGTTTCTGTAGGACAATGAAGTGAAAGCTCAGAGGACACCTGTGCTAAAAGCCTGTAAGCGAACGTGCACAGAATCAGTCTGGTTTTTTACATTTTTATTTGTGCATTTTTTAACTTCTCCCTTAAAGTGGACAGTTTGTGTGCATGGGTTTTTCCGGAAATAATAGACAAGGATGAAGGTGTGCCAAGAAAAGATAGGCCTACAGTAAGCCAAATGGTGGAGAGGATCATGGACAGGGCATTGGACAATTCCATAATGGCCCAAACTTGACCATTGTCCCCCAATTCGTTGTAACGAACAGTTCTTTCCGGACCCTATGCGGACGACACAGTCCGACGGAGTGGGGAAACACTGGGGAAACGTCATGCAGGAAAACGGGGCTGAAGACAGGGGGGCGTGTCCAAGGTGCGCTGGTGCACGGGGGAGGTGTGGCTGAGGCGAACAATCCAAAAGAGTAATCCTTAGAGAGTATCCAAACAAATGGGTAAGTCCAAAACCAGGAGATCCATCAGAGGAAGGAATTAAAAACCACGAAGGCCGGGTCGGAACCGGCGGACGGGGAACAGGAACGGGAACCGAGGTTAAAACCTTAACGGGACCAGGCGCTTCCAGGTCCCGGACTCGCACCAGAGCAGAGCCCGGATGAGCGTCAGCGCCTGGCTTTTAAGGTGGGCTGGGAATAGGGAACAGGTGCAGAGGTTAAAGTCTTAGTGAAAGGGCTGGAGCACCCTTAAGGAGGGGGAACTAATATCGTGACAGTTATCCTGGGACAAGCCCCCTTAAAAAGAAACAGCTTCTTCCTCTATACAATTGGTTGTTCCAAAGGAAATGGTATCTCAAGTCTCCGTCTCTGTCCAGTGATTATGGGCAGCTGGAAACCAGCGTCATTTTGAATGGTGCTTTCACTCCACTGTGGTAACACAGTAAGAGCGACCTTTTCCTTCTGTGACCGTGTTTCAATGCCCCCTTTCACTGTAATGAAATTTGATGCACTTTAACTGTAATCTGTCCACTCACAGGGAGCTTAATTTGACTTAAAAGTATTGTCTATTTTACACCTCACAGTCTTTACACAGGCAAGTGATGTGGCACTATAATCTTCGAGGGGCTGTAGCAGAGCAAGCAAAGTTGAAACTAAATGCATGTAAAGGGCAGTTTCCTGTAACTTGCTTATTTGTGTTTATGTTCTAAAAAGATAAGATTATGGAAGGTTTTAGCAGAAGTACTTATAGAGGACACAGAAAGTTTTAACCATAATAGCCTTCAGATGTTGCTGTAAATATGTGTGCAGGTCTGTGCCCTATCAAGTATTACAGAGTGGTATGTGCTGTAAGGAGTGAACCATCCTGCCCTGGGCAACAAATCACTTTCCCATTGCTCCTATCATTCTGGAAAGGGGAGCTGATAAGGACTCTTCCTTGGGATGTTGGTGCACGTGTCTATGGTGTCTCTGGCATGTGACCTTGGTGTCTCTGGCACGTGCATCACTGTAGGCAACAACAGATCTGGTTAATGTGTGAATTCAGACAGACCCAAGGATTTGCAGGCAGTGGATGGCAGAAAAAAACTCCAAGTGAAGGGCAAATGAGGCTGCAAGAAACTGCTACTGACCTGCTATCCACATCTCACTGAGATCTGGGTGCCACCTGCTGTTGAGTGATTGGCGACTTGACATGCAATTTTATTTATTTTTTCATTTTAAAGGTCAGGGTGTATCTGTGCATGTTTATTTTTTTCTGCATGGGTCATCTTTCGAAGAATCACGAGTGCAGATTAAGCTTTATAAGCCAACCAACCTTTGACCTCTGTTGCATTGCTCTACAGTGTACCCTGAAGAGAGTACCCAGCGGAGCATGTTAGGTGATTGCCCACAATTCATAAAAACCCTCAGGAAATGTATTTTTTATTGCACCTTGAAATGTGGTCTGAAGTGTGCTCCAAAATGTGCTGCAGTTTGCTGTGAAGAGTGCACCGGAGTGTGTTCTGATAAGTGCACCAGAGGGTGTTCTGATAAATGCACCAGAGTGTGCTCTGAGGAGTGCCCAGAGTGTGCTCTGAAGAGTGCCCAGAGTGTGCTCTGAAGAGTGCCCAGTGTGTGCTCTGAAGAGTGCCCAGTGTGTGTTCTGATAAGTGCACCGGAGTGTGTTCTGATAAGTGCACCGGAGTGTGTTCAGATAAGTGCACCGGAGTGTGTTCAGATAAGTGCACCGGAGTGTGTTCTAAAGAGTGCACCAGAGTGTGTTCTAAAGAGTGCACCAGAGTGTGTTCTGATAAGTGCACCAGAGTGTGCTCTGAAGACTATCCTGAAGTGTGCTGCAGACCTTGCTATGAGGAGTAGATGTAGCTGAACTGTGTTACAGGCATTAAGAAGGCAGCCATGACTAAAGCACCTCACACCTTTTAGTTCAGTGGTAGTTTGCTTAGCTAGTGCCAGGGCTTTTGAATCAAGTGCTTTCTCATGCAGTGATTCCACACGCCATTTTATCACCATACACCCATTGCTGAAGGAAAGGACAACAGCAAATCATTTTTAAAGTACCGGGATAATTTTAATATTTTTTTACAAAAGAAATAAACACAAAAGGCTTTTTTAACATTTGTACCTAAATTAGCGTTTTGCTTATAACTTGTACCGATTGAACATGAGTAGCGTGCTACAGAACACAAAAAGCTATTGCACACTTAAGACATTCAGTACATATATACATGAGTTAATATACTGTATATTTAAAATAAAAAAAACATACAATAGTCCACAGGGTTAGATCACATATACTTAACCATGAAATCACAAATGTACGTATTTACGAATGCTAAAAACATTGATTACTTGAGCCCATAGGAAACAGCGGGCTAAAGGGCGGGCTTTCATTTCCCCACCAAAGTGCTTTCTCTCTTTCTCATTGGTTGTCTTTGCATTTGATTGGCAGGGGTAACCACTAAATCAATATGGCTTCACTTCAGAGGCAACCAGTATAGGGCCTCCTAGCAACTTTAGGGAAGTTTATAAGATTCCTGGCTTGATTCAGAGAAGACGGCGGTGGGGAAGAAACAAGCCTTGTCCAAACACTTTACCTACAGCAGGTGTGCCTTCTGTGCTCAGACACGTCCTGTGATATCAGAACAGATGCTATCGTCTGCACGGGGCCACATGAGAGAGCTCTTACAGTCAGACATTCATCATGTCAGTTGTGACGTCAGGTGCTGGTGTCAATATCTGTCCCCCACAATTTGGTTTTAGAAGCTAATGCAACATGACATTCAGCTCTGCCTTATTTGAGCATTGTTATTTTAGTTTGTTTTTCATTATTTACTGTAAATTAAATGATGCAACGGTGATACCTGTAATGCAATGAAGAAAACATGCTTTTATAATCGGTTGCAGATGTGGCATAGTTTGATGGGTGGGCAACCACACTGTTTGCTTACAAGTTATTTAAGCAGATGTTTTTCCCTGCTTCTAAAGAAACTAAAAACAAAATCCTTAAAAGACCAAAACAATGAGTTCTGGACAAGCTGGTAGACCTGGAGCTTGCTGATGCTCTCATAAAAAAAACTGAGCTATGACAAAAACATTTGTACAGTCCTAGCAGCAAAGGCAGTGATTTCTACATTTTACACCTTCAATGTAAGCTCTCCTCTTTACCCCTTAACCACTCCGGACACACTCACACACGTATGCACCCCTCACAGGAGGGGACGTGCTCCTCGTCTGAGCTTTGGAAGCCAAAACACTCCCATACGGAAGAGGAGACTTGACGTCACCCTCTCTCCGACTCCCTAACCTCATCCTGTAAACAACAGGAACCCCCATAAAAGACAGGAATTCCTTCAGCTTCCCCTGTTTCTTCATCCGAAGTGGGAGCAGAGGACAGAAGAACAAAATAAACTCTTTTGATGTCAGTGGTTTGCAAACAAAAAAAAAATACTGCCGGCTGACCTTTTGCCGAGTCCGAAACGAGGTGGGACGCCCTGCTGGACAAATAAGTCCAGCCAGAAACAGGATCTGGGATGGGGCTCCCAGCAAGCCAGCGGGAGATCGAGAATGAGCTTGTGTTTTGTTTCCACACTGTCTACTGCTTAGCCAAGCTGACCGAGCAGTGCAGATGCTGATCCTTATGCAAAATCACATTGAATTCTTGCCTTCTTGGTCAACCGCTGTTTTTTCACTCTGGTTGTAACACCCAAGCAGTTCTCTCGAGTTTTTGGCAACAATCACCTACCAAGCAACTGAGTCTAAGGCCTGAATGTGCTTCTCTGTTTTGTTGTTTTTAAACTTTATCTTGTGTCCCATCAAGTATTGTGACAACTACAGCCGATAGTCCTGTATGTGACCACACAGACCCAGCACTTGCAACTACGTATTGTACACCTATTATACAACAATAATCATCCAATAAATAAGGTCAATTTTTTTCATTTGCCCCCTTTGTTTTTTTAAAGTGGTATTCAGAGCTTCACCGTTTTCCCTTCCCTGCTCTCCTGTTATCATTTACTCTAGCGAGGAGGGTCATGGGACATTTGGCCTGTATGTAGTAGGAAGATCCGTCATGATGTGTCTTGTGGTGTATTTGGGCAGAGCCACTCCTACTAATGCAACAGTCTTTTTTATGTGTTGGCCCAGTTGGCCTTGGCTAACCAAATTCAGTTTGGATATCTCTTGAGAAAAGTAATACTGCACTGAATCACGATCCAGTTGCAATGGAAGAAATACGCTCTCCATTGTTAATCTGTTTCTGTTTAAAGCTAAATTTGTTTCTCAGCTGGGTATGGAACCCTCCCCCTCCATCCTGACAGCCACCCCCCCAAAATATAGTACTGTGTCTGTTGCTGATGCCCATCTGAGCGTGTTAAATGATTGCCGACAATTTAAAAAACCCCTCAGGAAATGTATTCTTTTTTGATTGCACCTTCCTCTTAGGAAGCTGTTATATTTAGAGAGATGGAGAAGAATACAAACAGGCCGCCGCTGAGCTGACATTAAAGCACGCAAGAGTACAAAACAACATCAAGGCTGGGAGACTCGAATTTCACACACTACACAGAAGTAAACGCGTCATTTTGGAATCAGACATTTCCTTGTCTTTTTTTTAAAAATGGAAACGTTTGTTTCATTACACACCTTGAACATTAATCTTTGTTCTTTGGAACCCCACCCACAAATCCCCCTGTGACCCGGAGAAACTACAATAAAACTAACTTTATAGGATCATAGCAGCAGTGTGTGCTTCTTAACGCGCACGTTGTGTTCTTTAGTTTCGGTTCCAAAAGGTATGTTCTGTCCTCCTGGACTTTGAACTGTACGCACCCCACTCTCTCGCTTAATCTTGTTTTTCTTTCACCCTCAGATCACAGAAACCCACGAATGACCAAACGAAATCAAATTGTTCTCAATCATTGACCACTCACTGCATCTGCTTTGTTTTTTGTTTTGTTTTTTGCTGCCAGGAAGAGGTACGGATTGTTTGATCGAAAAAGAAACTGAATTTATAAAAAAGGGGATGAAGGGAGTGGAAACTCGGGAAGCAGACTAATGTCACTGCTCGATACGCGGCTCAAAACAGGAACAGGGGTGAACAATTGGCGGGCGCACCGGCTCTGTTCACTCTCCCTCCCGGGGGCAGGCGGAACACACGCACTCTGTCACGGAGGGGGGAAACGCGGAATTAAGCCAGACGCAGGTGGAAAAAAAAACAGGAACCCGCCACTCAGAACCGCTGCCGTTGTAGGATGTCTGCTACGAGCACGACCGCAGGTGCGAGGAGTTTGGTATTGGATGCAAGCTTTTTTTTTGTCTGTTTGCGGACTCTCTTTGTTTTAATCGACCCAAAATCTGGATGGACCCCCTTCCTCTAAATGGGGGACAGAGCCAACATGAATTAGGTGTCAGTGACCTGGCTGCAGGGGAAGGGGCAGGAACGAAACTGTCACTGCCTGGCAGTTTGAGCCCGATTAGATTTTTCCGAGTGTCAGTTTTTTGTGAAACAGGCCAATTCCAACGTCTGGGTAGTTCCTGTCTTTTGCCTTATTTTGCTTAAATTTGCACAGGCAGACACGGAGTTCAAACAACACTAAATAAATATTAAAATGACAATTAAATGAGCGACTACAAGTATTGCTGGGAGATTTCCTCTCCTGGGCCAACGGCCTGCAGCCCTGCAGGAAACAATAAAAAGAACATTTCTACTCCTCACAAAGTGCCTTTTTTTGGTATTCTTTTTAAAATGTTGCTGAGAGTTATACTTGGGGCCCTGACTGTCTGACTCGTTAAGGTTAGGTACTTATGGAAGCTTGGGATGGCTCCTTAACTTGGATGGGCGTGGAGATCCAACTTCTCTTTTTTTTCCCTAGACGGCAGGGGGTCCCGCCGGAAACATAGTGAAGCTAATCTTCAATACTGTCAGTTCTAAAACAAAATCAAGTAAAAGCTGGAAGAAGAACATAATACCTTGGGGAGGGTAAATTGATCAAATCCCAAACCTGGCCCTCTCCAGCATTTTACACATTTCCCAGGGGGCCACAGTGAGAGCTTCGTCCCTTTGAAATCAACATTTCCTAAGGTGTCGGGTTAACGGAATACAGGTCCAAGTCATTTGCCCTGGCAGAGGGTACCATTTTGATGGAACAGCTCAGTAAATACTGGGAGTCGGCTGTGCTACTTCATCGAATGCAGCCCTTTTTCGACAGTTGTTTGAAACGGAGCTGAGCAATATCTCGTAGCATATTTTTACCGTACAGAAGCATGCAATTTTATAACACTGTCATCGTTAGCTTTGTTCCCAGTTAGGTGCCCGGGAACCTAGTTAGTGGATAAAGATAGTGGTAAATGAATCCCAGGACACACCGCGGATCCCTTGGTCACAGCTCCCAGTGGGAATCGGACCACACCTGTCGATTCTGGTGGAAACCCGATTGCAGGGTCCACATTTTATTCGCAGTCTTCTACTGGTGCGGGATATCACAGAGCGCAACTGAGTATCGCCTCCCAGAAACCCTTCTGAAGGGGAGGGTGAGCGCCTGCAGACATCTCCTCCTTGCCCTGCTGCTCCTGGCAAACCACTGCGTCTGCTAAGCTCGCTCTGTGGGACTCCTTGAAGCCCTGGGGTTAAGAGTCTTTTTGTCAAACGAGGTCTCCTTTGTCTTCTGCCTGTCTTTGGAGCAGTCCAAACGTCCGTCCGTCCGTCCCCCCCCCCAAGCCCCACAGTGGCAAAACCAAAAACCTTTCGTAACTCACAGACCTGGCAATAGATTATAGTCTCTTACCCCATCTTGTTTTGGGCTTGTATTTCACCCTTATTGTGTTTTGTCCCTAAACACACGTGGTGCAGTCCTGCATGATGGGCATCGTCTGGTTCTCGTGTTTGAACGTGCAGTGATCCAAAGAGCTGGAGCTCTTCAGCTGGATCATGCAGCGATCGGGGGGGCGCCCGCTCTGTAGGATGCCCCAGCAGCATAGCACCCGGAGGAACTCCTTGCGCATGTCCTTGCTGCGTAGAGTGTAGATCAAGGGGTTGAGGGCCGAGTTGAGTGTGGCGACCCCAAAGAAGATTTTGGACTTGGAGAGGATGGGGCAGGAGGACATGGTGCAGGAGACGTCCACAAGCAGGATGGAGAATGCCGGCAGCCAGCACACGATGAAGACCCCCAGGACGATGGTGACCGTCTTGAGCAGGGTGTAGGCCGGAGTAGCGGTGGCCTCCTGGTGACTGGACTTGACAATCAGGTAGATGCGCACGTAGAGGATGACGATGGAGAGCAGGATGATGCTGAAGATGGTGACCACAAACAGGATGTATTTCTTGGAGTACAGGGGCAGGAGAGCCGAGCACTCGGGCAGGCTGTTGATACAGTTCCAGCCGATGATGGGCAACCCCCCCAGCAGGATGGAAGTCACCCAGCAGGTGCTGATCAGCATGAACATGCGGCACGTCTTGTTGTTGCCATATACCTTCACCTTGGTGATGGCGATGTAACGCTCGATGGCAATAGCCAGGAGGCTGAAGACAGAAGCCGACAGGGCGATGAAGGCAGTCCCCTCCCGGATGAACCACTGGACTGGCAGCAGTTCAAAAGTCCGTGAGCCGGACAGGAAGATATTGGCGATGTACGCAGATCCGGCCAGCAGATCCGAGAATGCCAGGTTGCCGATAAAGAAGAACATGGCGGAATGGAACTTCTTGTTGCGGAAGACAGCAATGAGTACCAGCAGGTTCTCCAGGATGATGACACAGCAGACCACAATGAAGATGATTGAGAGGGAGCCGAAGCTGTCCTTTGCGCGGTCGAGGACCCTCTCTTTGGAGAGGTTCTTGGCGTACATGTAATGTTCAGAGATGACAGCATTGTTGTAGTATTGCTCGTACTTGCTCCTCATAGTGAAGGTGTAGCCGTAGACGGCGTTCTGGCAGAAAGTCATTATTGCTGTCCAGGAGGGGACTGGAACGTGGAGGACACCGCAGCCATCAGAGTGTCACACCCCAGGGACCCAGGAAACCACATGGGCTCACCTGCAGACACAGCGAAGAGAAGAAAAGTCGAGAGTGAGAATCAGTTGAAAATGTTTAAGCGCAAGTCCCATGCCCCAAAACAACATGGAGTGAAGCCAGAACCAATGCTTTATTCTTTTGGCAACCCAAAAACCACTGTTTGTGTTCCCATGTGAACCATGAACCACAGGTTGCCTTCTTACATCTTCAGGTGTCTGCTTTTCACACCAGACCTAGAAAGTGTTAGAATTACAGCCCCTTTAGATCAAAACCAAGGGGAACTGTTAAACCAGCATCAAAACCATAGAAATCTATCTGTCTTGTCTGAGCTGTTGGGAAAAGAAGTCTGTTCAATTACCAGCTAGAGCATCCTGCCAAGCTAACACCACATCACGATCGCGTGAACAAAATGTTTGAAAAATATCGGGCAAGTGGTTGCAGATTGCTGAAGCATTCTCACATAGCCTTTTATGTGAAGTCACGTGTTGTATTTAAATGCTGATAAACGATGCTGTGATGGCAATACCCTTACTGCAGATAACGGGGGTTTCAAACTCTGGGCCCTGCAGTGTGTACATACGCAATGAGAACGCAGTATACTATAGTATGTGTTCTCTGTCACGTGCATTATGGAATCCTACTGATAAGATTCTGGGAACATTCCGTTATTAAAGACACATGGGGCAGTTCTGCATTTCTGTAAAAATTAAGGCATGTACAACCTCACATGCTAAATAGTACACATTTCAAACAGCTCTGTTTACCAGAATTACAGCTTTTTCTGCTGGGGACAGCTTGGAGCAGTCAGATTCACTTTATTCTGCTGCCGAACAGTTTCTGGGATCAGTCCCAGCTGGGACCACCTGTCTGTGTGGAGTTTGCTTGCTCACTCCGTGTTCAGCTGGGGTTTTCTCTTGGTGCTCCAGTAAATGAATGTTCAGGCTTGTTCTCAGAAGTCAAGACAAAAAAAAAGCTTGGGTCCTTAATGTATGTATCCGAGGACATTAAGACTTGTGAGTAAAACACCAGATGTTATTATCTTAGCATTTAAAAAGGGAAGTTTAAATGGAAATGTGGATACAACCATTTTGCTAACTTAAACTTTTCACCGTGTAGGATGCTGGATCTTGAGATGTGTACATCCCCACCACCTCCTACATAACCTCTCTAAATCAATTAAAGAATCTGTCAAAGATTATTTTACCTTTGTTTTCAGGGGTTGTGATTTATGTGATGTTTGATCTGAACAGAGAAGCACAGCCACAAATGTACAGTTAGACTCTTGTCATGAACGAAAGCAGACATGTGGGCGTAAAGTTTTGCTTTCACAATGCCCTCATCTAGCAGAACAGAAACTTTGCAATCCCAGACCCTCTTTTCCAAGAGCTTATTGTGCTGAATAGACACGTTACTGCCTCCAAAAATAGCTCAGCCCCAGAAGGGCTCAGAGACTTCCCTTAGAAACGTGTATATACAGCTCTTGGTTCTGAAACACATTGTTGCACGTTGTGATTATGTGAAGCTGCCCCCTGAAAAAAGCCTTTAAGAGCATTTTCGAATGTCGTGTGATGATCTGAGTAGCCCACGTACATCATTTCGCGATAGCTTTGTCTCGTGTAGAGCAACAGAGATTCAACAGGATTTACTGTAGTGTGCCCAGTCAAACAGTCAAATCGGGATCTATTCTCGGGTCACAGGAAAAAAATGGTCATTTCAAACTAATTCTTCATACAGAGTTACCCGTAATTCATGAACTCAAGTTCATGTTACTATAATAAAGCTTGATAACAGAACTTTGCCCATCGAGAGCCATTTGTTAGGAACGCTATGCTAAAAATGCAAACTAGAGGTGAGGCTTCAGATTAAAAAATATCATGCAATAGTGAACCATAATCATGCAAAGGCCACGTAATTTATTGATTCAACCACAAGAGATAACAATACTGCTTTATGCGTGATCTTTTAACAGTATGGCCAGAGGGTGACCTTGGCTTGATAAATACTTGGAGGTGGGAGTGTACAGTGGAGGACACAGCACGAAATGTTATTTTAAGACTCATTTGTGCCGGAATGCTTATTTAGCCTCCCAGCGCCATAGCCACAGTTGATGCAGTCTTCTCTATTTTGTTCAAAAGCACACGCCGGGGATATAAAATCCCTTTTTTCTGGCTCGGAGCAGACATTTACTGATGAGATTGAGTAAGCGCTTTCTGGGATGAAATGAACAAAGTGAAAACGTGGCAGAATTATTTTTTTTCCTCCCTAAAAGGATGGCTGTTTCGCAGATCGCTGCACAGCTGAAGGTGCTATACGGTCCGTGCATTCATAGGTGTAAATATGTGCGTACGTAGCTTGTGGTGAATTGAAAGTGGTTGCCCACACTGGCACGCAATGTGGAGCGAAGAATTAGATTCACATGGCACTCAGCCTAATTGTGAAATGCTTCTTGTGAAGGCTTCCTCTTGAGTTTTTTCTTCTTCTCTTGAAAATAGCATATAACACTTCACCACAAAAAATACATAAATTGCAAACACATTGTTTTGGAGGTTTCATTCCAGCTGAGCTCACTGTTTGCCAGATTAAACCAGTTCAACCCTTTAGCCCCAGTTTTAGAGCTCATGGTACTTTAAAGAGATCTGTTGTAACTGCCGGACCGTAGCCCCCCAGCCCCCGCCCCAACAGGGATGGAGTATAACACCACCGCACAAGGTGGGCTACACCTGTCACTGTAGCTGCAGTGCTTGGCTACTAGAATCCTGGACGGGAAACAGGTCTGGCACCCAAATCCAGAGTATTATCCTGTGGAAAAAATCTTTCCAAGTACCGTTGGACACAGAGGGCCTTTAGGAAATCATGAGGTGATGGACACCTCAAAGCTCTGGGTCTGGAGCGGTAGCCTAACCACAGCACTGGTACAACCACCCACTCGGAGTGAACTGAGCCCTGCAGCCCAGCCCGCCTGCAAGACTTTGCAAGACACAGTTGCACGCGAATCCGAACAGCTGGGGAGTTTTCAGACAGGCGATGCACTGTTTTAAGCGACGAGATTCCAAGGTGTGGGCTTGGCGTGTGAGCTTTGGTAGGTAGGCAGCATGTGGCCAGACGTGGTTGCTGGGCTTCCTGAGGATGAGTTTAGTTTGCCAGGAGGTGGTGGTGAAATGCACATCAAGATAAAATATTGTCACGCCTACTGCATTGCAGTTCCCACGCGTCTTGAGCTAGCCAGTGAATTATCTAATATTTCTATAGAAGAATCTGCACTAAAGCCCCAGTCAATGCTGCATTACACACGGTTAAAGAAAATGATCATAATTATCATCAAAATTATCATACTTTTTTTCGTCAGAAAAACATCTCCACTTTCATCAGCTAGATATAAAAGCACAGAGCAGGCTGAGATATCAGCTATGAAAATGACAATATTGATAAAAATATGCGTGGTGGATTGACGATAATTAGCTGCCTAGTCAGTGAGGGTGCTGCATCTTTGCTGCTAAAGGCATATCGTCGATTGACTTTGATGAAAAGGCCTTCCTCTTCAGCAGATACGTCTGCTCAATCTGATGGTGTTTCTGAAACCAGTCATAAACGCCTGCTTGGCGTGAGCAATCCCAGAACACCTTGCTCTCAGGCTTTGCAATATTAGTTTACTGCAACGCAGGTTGCAAACACCTCATCTCTGACCACAAAGAAGGAAAAGAAAATCAGTGCGGTTTTCCATTGGAAAGTGTAGCACAAATCAGTACGGTACCATCCTCACAGGACACCATATTTAGCACTTTAGACTGCAGTTGCCTTCACTTAATTGTCTGCGACTTTGCTACATTTTCCACTGCCAGTCTCATAATGTTTGGCCTCTGTCCTTTACCAGCCTTCACAGCACATAAGCATAAAACCTTAGGCCTGGCTCCTACAGTGGCATACAACAGGCTGGATCTGTAAAACAAGCACAGAGCTTGTTGACACAAAGAGAGCGACAGCAGAGCTCTTTCCTAAGCGGTGCTGCCGACAGCCCCGACAGTCACAGAAAACTCAGCCGTTGCAAAAATGCAAAGCATCTGACGAAGCTGGCGGTAGTGATTGCCTATCAGTATTCGTCTGTCAGAAGAACTCAGCAACAGTCGCCTTATTGCGCAAGGTCATTCCATTATCCCTTTTCAGAATTTCTGACACATGCGTCTCCATTGTTTCAAACGTGAGCAATTTTCACAATCATGATCCCCCACCCCCTTTAGCAACACTAAACATCATGCTTCTCTTAAGAGCGAACCCTCTCCCCTCCCGCAAAAGAACACTTGGGTTAAGAAAAGGTGTTAACTTTTTATTTCTTTTTGGATAAGGGAAGGGGGTGTGCTGGGATAAAGGGAATGGAATGTGCTGGCATTTTAATCAGTTCACTTCTATGTGTCTGTGTCTGTTTTTCGTTCTTGCATCCTGACTCATTGTTAACCTTCCAGCCAAGAGTCCAGGGGTCCCAGGAGCACAGCAGCAGAGGGCTGGTGCCATATCCACATTGAACTCGGATTAGGTCCGGCCGTATTCCAGCCTTTTCCCCATTCAGAGAGGCAGGCTGTCACTTAGAGAGCTGCTTGTGACTTCTCAAAGATTATCTTATAGGTCCCAAATTTCCAAGGATATACCAAGCATATAGACAATTCTGTGTTGTCAGAGTTACTGAATAAACAACCATGGAAGTGCTTCGTTATCAATAAAACCAGAAGGGGGAAGATTTTCTCCCCATTTTCCTCAGTCAAAGGAAACGTAACCCAGACCCTCATTGCCAAAAAGTCTGAGAAAAGAATTTAGATACGAAGCGGTTGAGTTTAGACATTGTGTACGCAAACATGCTGCAGCTTTTCACGTTTTTAAGTTAAATTTAATTTTTTTAATTTCTAAGTAAGCTGTAAAGGGTGAACAGAATTTGTCTGAAGAATGGTCCATTACAAAAAATAGGATGTTTAAAATTTTAAATGTATAGCAGCAATTCATATTTAAACTGCTTTGCATTTAGAGTAATAAAA